TTGATTTTTTTCAAATTTTTTCATAAAGCGGTTCAGGAGATACAGATTTTTGAAAAATGACGTTTTTTACGTAAATTTTTGTTTTAAACGCTTATAACTCGGTCAAAAATTGATCAAATTGGACGTTATTATAATGAAAAGTTTTGTTTTCACGCGTAGTTTTTAATAAAAATATTTTTTAAAAAATTTTAAATAATTTTAGATAAAATTTTTTAATTTTAGATAAAATTTTTAAATTTTTAAAATAAAATTTTATTTTTAACAATGTATGTGTCGATCAATTTTTTCAAAATTTTTTTGAGAAACTAACTCTAAATTAACAATTTTTAAGCCTTGTCCGATCGTGGGCAAACGATGGGATCTATTTATTTAAAAATTTTTAATTTTTATATACGCAGTGGTGGCCAATGACTAACTTGCCATTTGACAAAATCACACAAATTTTTCACAGCAAATGTGTTTTCAGACTGAGTCTCTTTAAACTTAACCTTCTTTCTGTGCAAAATTGTGATTTGGTCAAATGACAAGTTAGGCCTACCGTTTTAACTGTGTATATAAAAATCCCAACAAAAACATCTTTGATGCAAAAAGTTCCGCCAAGTAAAAGATTTTGTGACTGTCCAAACAATTAGTGAAGTAAAAGTTTACCAAGTAAAATTTGTAATTAAAATTTTAATAATGATTGATTTTAAATATTTTCTCTCCTACACAACTCGAAGTACATATTGCAGTTGAAAAAAACAACCCGGGCTTAGATGTTGTTATTGTACATTGCGGCTTAATTACACTTCCGAATTAAGTCAATGTTCTTCATTGCATTTTGAATTGTAACAAATAAAATTTAACTTTATAATTAACATTCACAAAAAACGGAATCTAATTAGGGGAGAGTGGGGCAAAGGCGCTATGCGGGGCAAAGACGTTGTTTAAAATATCTCCTTTATTTTCTGTCTATTCCAATTGGTATTAAAATTTAAGTTGCAATGCAATCAGACCAATTGATTAAAAAAAGAAAAACCTAAAAATATCAAATATTTTAAGAAATATAACAAAAAAATTGTTTTGCAAAAATAAAATGATAATTTTACTGAACAAACTTTTATTTTTTAAAACATAAGTTTAAGTATTTAATTTTTAAAAACGTAACATGTAAATAAATTAAATATTTCTCTACACAACTGGCGTGGTGTTTTAGTTTAATTTTGTATCTAAATATTTTAAATTTAAAGTAAAAAAAAAGTTTGTTATGTGGGGCAAAGTCAATATTGAACATTATTTGGTTAAAAAATAATTGAATATTAGAATTTTCTATGTATTAAATCACAACATAAGGTTAAAATCACTAAAAGTTTTTATTTTTGATTTAAATAGTTTAATTCTTTTAATAATATGTTGTTAACCTTATATGTTTCGTAAATATTATACTAATAAATATCACTTGTTAATTTTTTTAAGGCTTATAAATGCTTTCTTTTAGAAATATAAGCGAAAACGTCGCTGCCCTAGCGTATGGGGCAAAGGCATTTTTTGCATTGTTTTTAAATTTCATTAAATAATGTATTTATAATTATAATATACTAAATAACAACTATTAAAATTTCTTGTTGATTAGCTTTGGAATAATGAAAAACAAAGACAGCATAAATTAATTGCTTAATTTAAAAAATATACATCGATAAATGTAAACCTAGCGCCTTTGCCCCACTCTCCCCTACTCGTCATAATAAAAAATTTCTATTTCAGCAATTTAAAAATCTTGACGTCAATACTTTCATTAATTACAAGTTAGAAGCATTATTGACGCTGAAATAGAAATTTTTTATTATGGCGAGTAATTAGATTCCGTTTTCTGTGAATGTTAATTATGAAGTTAAATTTTATTTGTTACAATTCAAAATGCAATGCAGAACATTGACTTAATTCGGAAGTGTAATTAAGCCGCAATGTACAATAACAACATCTAAGCCCGGGTTGTTTTTTTCAACTGCAATGAGTCAAAACGCGTCAACCGTGAATACAATTTTTTTACAGTTTTGGAAAAGTTAAAACATTTATGAAAATCTGTAGTTCACAGCAAACCAAAAAACACTTTTAACTGTTTTTCGAAATTTTAAATATTTATACCTTTTTTTATAATAAAAAATTTTTGCATTATTTAAGAAAAAAATTAATAACTCATTACTGTTTTGCTAGAAATTAATGGCAATTTTTTTGGTAGTCATTAAATATCCACTCTTTTAAATAAACTTAATTGCGAAAAAAAATTTCGAAAAATTTTGAATTTTTAATAACAATTTTATAAACAATTAGTGTTTTTATGCTTTCTAGAGCAAGGATTTTAATGAAATTTATATGTAAGATACATTGAACCTACATCTTTATATTTCTGAAAAAAAAATTTGTATTTCCAATTACAACCGGAGATTTTGAATTTTTAGTTGCGCCGTGCGGCATCCATCGCTGTGATAAATGTCGCGGTAAACGAGCAGACGGCGCACGGTGCAACAAAAAATTCAAAATCTCCGGTTGTAATTGGAAATACAAATTTTTTTTCGGAAATATAAAGATGTATGTTCAATGTATCTTACATAAAAATTTTATTAAAATCCTTGCTCTAGAAAGCATAAAAAACACTAATTGTTTATAAAATTGTTATTAAAAATTAAAAATTTTTCAAAATTTTTTTTCGCAATTAAGTTTATTTAAAAGAGTGGATATTTAATGACTACCAAAAAAATTGCCATTAATTTCTAGCAAAACAGTAATGAGTTATTAATTTTTTTCTTAAATAATGCAAAAGTTTTTATTATAAAAAAAGGTATAAATATTTAAAATTTCGAAAAACAGTTAAAAGTGTTTTTTTGGTTTGCTGTGAACTACAGATTTTCATAAATGTTTTAACTTTTCCAAAACTGTAAAAAAATTGTATTCACGGTTGACGCGTTTTGACTCATATGACTCTTTGTGACTTTAAAAAAAATTTCTGCTGAACAAAAAAAAATAAATTGAAACTTTAAATGCGTTTTTCTCAAAATCACATTTTTTATGATTGCGTGCAGTCTAACTTAAACAAATATTTACCGATTATAATGAGATTTGGAAGTTTTTTATTCTTTATAAAATTACGAAGAATATGAACCACCATTCAAGGTGATATCACAATTTTAAGGGTGTTTTTTGTGTAATTAGTGTAAAAAAAATTGTGAAAATTCAAGAAAAAATTTCAAACACCTTCAAAATTTAAAATTTTTATTATTTTTACCTAAATTGAGGTTCATATTCTTAGAAAATAAGTTAAGAATGTAAGAAATTTTTTTTTTAATTTTAGTTAAAAATAAAAATTGCTACACGTCACGCAAGTCGAGAAAAAATATCAGAACCATCAGTTTATGACAGCATATCTGCCTTATGTCTGGTTAAAATAAATCAAAAGAATTTATAAACATTGTTCAAAACACTAATAAAAAGATGCCTAAATGTAATTGAATTTTAATTTATATTCCCCCCCCCCCAAGAAAAATTTTAAAAAATCCATAAAAATGAGCCACCTAATGTGGTTTCCCCCCTTAATGAATGTTGATTTTAAAATTAAGATTTCCATGAATAAAAATTTTCTTAGTTTATGGTTTGAAATTGATCAGGAAAATTTTAAAATTAAGAGTTTCCTTGAATAAAAATTTTCTTAAAGTAAGGTTAGGTGTAATTAAAATTTTCTTAATTTAGAGTTTTCTTTGAGTTTTTTAAATTAAGAGTTTTTAAATATGTAAAGGTTTTTTATAATTAAAGATTTTGTTAACTATAAAGACTTGTTTAAATTAAGATTTTCTACATCTACAAAATCCACAAATTATGATTTGGAACAGTTAAAAGATTAATTAAGGTTGTCTTAAATTAGGAACTTTTGAAATTAAGAGAATCATAAATTTGAATTTTCTTAATGTTTCCTTATAAATTAAAAAAATCTTAAATTATGTTTTATTTTAAATTAATATTTTCTTAAAATAAGTCTTTCTTACATAAGGAAAATTTTCTATTGACAATTTTTTAATTTAAGGGAGTCTTTAATTAATTTTTCTTTAAATTGAGATAAATTGTTAAATTCAGATTATTTTTAATTTTGATCTTTATAATATTCATTTATATTTTAAAACAATAGTTTTAAAATATGAGATTCTTGTATTGAAATTTTCTTAAATTAAGAGTTTTTTAAAGTATGCGAGTCTTAAAATTAGAATTTTACACACAGAGAAAAATATATACATAGGTATAGTAAAGTTCGTTTTTTCGTACAATAATTTAAGTTTTCTCAAATTAAGAAATTTTTAAATCAAGATCATTTTTAATTTTAATTTAGATTTTCTTGAATTGGGATTGGCTAAAATTATATTTTCTAAAATTGAGATTCTTTTCAATTAAATTAATTTCAATTATATTCTAGAAATAAATTTTCTTAAATTTTATATTTTCAAAAATTGAACTTTTATTTGAATAATTGTCAGTATTACGTATTTCTGAAGAATAATGAAGTAAAAATAAAAAGTCTAAAACAAGATCCATTTTTTTAAATTTAGAATACCGTTTCTTCGCACATAATAATTCAAAACCTCAAGAAAACAATATATCAATTTACAAACATTCTTTCGCTGAATTTACATCTTCATTCCTAGGATTATTTTTCATTCCTATTTTAATATATTCAAACCTGAAGTAAGACAATTGCCGAGAACTATTAAAATAATTAAAATACCTCTTGACTTTTATAGTTCACAACAATATTTTCCTTAGCCGCATTATAAAATCACTATACTTGAGAAATACAAGAGAGAAAGAGAAGAAGATACCAACAAATCATCAGTAAGGAATTTATGTAGGGCTCTTAAAGCATTAAAAATTAAAAGAGAGCAAAACAAAAAAAAAGAGGAGAGGGGGGGAAAAACAATACAAAAGTTCGGACGGTGCGATAAATCGATCGGCTTTCGTAACGCTCTAAAACCCATTGAAAATAAAATATAATCGAATAGGAAGCGAAGAATTGAACGAAAAACATTCTTTTTCAAGAAAACAAGAGAGTGTCTTGTGTTCTCTTTTTTCGGGTGTTTTTTTTCTTTCCTTTTTCCCTTTTTTTATAAATAAAGTTCCAACACAATCACTCGCGGTTCATGTATATATATAAATATAAGAGGATTTACTCCGAGATGAATTCCGTCATTTCAATCTCCGCGACAGATACTTCCTGAGCAAAGTTTTATCATTTGTTATCATTCTTTGGAAAAATTTTTTTTCCAATCAAAATTTTAAATATATTTGAATTCTTCTTCTGTTTATTTACTATTTAAACATTACTTAACATTTTTTGTAGAAGCAAAAGAAAAAATCACCAATTTTGGTGCCACTAATGGTACCAAAAATGCAATTCAAAAGAATTATAATTATTTGTTTATTTCTAATATTCACGTCTCAGGTCAAGTGTAATTCGAGTAAAAATTTAAAGGATGCCTGGAAGGGTTTCAGTATGTCGTGCACGAATGAGGATCCACAGAATGTCTCTGTCTCGTGTCATGGGGTGAGAATTGTGCGTCGTATCGTTCAACAATTATTGGAGAATACCGCGAAAAAACGGAGTATTGAACTTTTTGATGGCGTCACATTGGTGAATATTAATAATAATAATAATAATAATAATAATAATGACGCGAAATCATCACGAAGTGCACGTCTTTTGATGGGACCAAAGTCACTTTTACAGTTTTTCGACGGAAAGGAATTGAGGATAAAATTACCGAATTTTCTGCCCGGGAATATTGAGTCAGCCTTCAGGGCAAGTTTGCCCGCTGCTAATCAAGGTGAATTATTAACGAGAGTGTTTATTGCAAAATAGAAATACATAAATCAGAGAAGATTTTTTGAAATAATTAAAAATTTAATCAATTATCAACTTTAAAGTATATAATTTTATTGTTTATTTAGTTATTTATTTTTATTTCCGTTAACATAAATAATTTTTCTACTTATTTCTCTATTTAATTAATTATTTATTTAGTTACTTACTTTTTTAATTACTTATTAATTAAATTAATTGATTGAAACAAAAGTTCCTTTATTGTTAAAGAAAGATGTAAAAACAATTTTCTACCTTAAAAATGAATTTTTCGGTTTAATATAATTTATTTATCATTCTCTTTATTTGTAGTAATAATAAGTTAATAAATAATGATAATCATTTGATTATTTAAAAAATCGTTTACTACTTTATTTATTTATATCATCAAAAGGGTTTGTTATTATTATTTTTACTTATTTTATGTAACTAAACTATTATAATTTAAACTATAATTACCGAATTAATTGTTTAAAAATAAAAAGTTAGTCAATTACCATTTAAATGATTATATTATTTATATTTTAATTTGTTTTATATATTTTACCTAAATTTATATATTAATTTTCTGAATTATAGCAACTAGTCATCTTTAAAATTTAATAAACGAAGTGTTTGAAAACAAAATTTTGCAAAAATGAAATTGAAAAAAAATTGAATTTCATAATAAATAAAATAAATCTTCAAATAAATAATAACATAGTAATAAATAGTAATAAATAGTATGAATCATTAGTATTAAATGCCTATAGTCTACACTAATGCCTACACTAAAAACGTCTCAAAATAAGACATCTCTTTTTGCAGTGTATAGTCTAATATTTCCCAGAGTCTACAATAATTATTATGTACCATTTTTGTAGCCCTATAATTGGTTTATGTTGCGGGCTTTGTAATTTCAAATAAAAATTCTAAATAAAAATTGTTAACAGTAAATAATTAGTAGTAAATTGTTAGTAATAAATTATTAGTAATAAATTATTAGTAATCAATAATTAGTAATATATAATTAATTAAATAAATCTTTAAATAAATAACAATAACATAGTAATAAATAATGATAAATAGTATTAAATTGTTAGTAACTAAAAAAATACACTGAGAGAAATGGATAGTCAGATTTTGATGTTAAAAAGATGATGTTACACGATACTATCATTATGCTACTGCCAACCATCACAGATGCTAAAAAAAATATAGTTATGCTACCCCGTACTACCAAGATGTTACTCCTGATGATATTGATGGTAACGGTGACTATCTAGATAGCTGTCTGTATATGTAGCATTAAAGAGGGTCACCCAAACCACAATTATGTTACCCACTACTATAAATTTCTCTCCGTGTAGTAATAAATAGTGATAAATAGTATTAAATTTATTAGTATTAAGTTTTTAGTAATAAAAAATTAGTAATAAATTATTAATAATAAATTGTTAGTAATAAATTATTAATGATAAATTATTAGTAATTAATTGTTAGTAATAAATTATTAGCAATTAGTAATAAATTGTAATAAATATCTTTATCAATTTTAAAATAAGTGAGAGGTAATTATTAATAAAAATTGCAATTTTATTTACAGCTCGTGGGGGTGGAGGTGGGGGTGGGGGAGGTGGTAAAAAAGGCGATGGAGGTGTCATGATGATGGCCCTGATGATGGGTACGTACTAAAAAATGCAAAATGTTTTTAAGTATATATAATAGTACAAACATATTTTTTGGTTAATTTAAAGAAATAATATATTTAATTCAAACATAAGTTATTGTTGATTTTATATTATTTATAATAAACTTTTAAGTTTGAATCAAACATAACTTTTGTTTAAATCAATATAGAAAATACGTTTGAATTAAACATAATTATTCAAACAAATAATATTTTTGAACAGTAGCGTAACAAGAGAGGCCGGGGCCCTGGGGCGAGTAAAGCCTTGGGGCCCACTAGTAGAAATGAAATTTGATTAACAGTGGGAAATACCAAATACCTTACAGCAATAATAAAATTACTCCTGACTCTCTTTCAAAACATTTATTAAGTTTTTCTAGTCGTAAGAAATATTTATGGAAGAATATTGAGACTAGATAACAAGCTTAAAGTATATTTACTCAAAGTCGTAAATAAAAATTTTAGTATAATTTATTATAACAATTTGACAATAGAATGATTACAATATTTATTAAAGTAAAAATTTTATCTTTAGAATTTATTTAAGGGGGCAGTCTGGGTCTTTTGCACGTATTCTGAAGAATTTTTTTTTTCATAGTGAAATTTATTTAAACATTTTAAAATTTTTACATATTATTACACATATATTAAACTAAATAAAAAAATTTTTTTTCTATTTTTTTTGTTCTTAATAGCGAAGAAATGGCGACATGAAAAAAAATCTCGAAAATCTGGTTGACATGATATCTTCAGTCAGAACAGACGGAATCAAAAAATTCAAACGGATTTATTAAAATGTAGGTAAGTGGTTACAGCCGGAACTAAAATCATAATTTTTAAATAATTTTTAACCTGTTTTATAAACAATTTTAGTTGCAAAAGAAGGTTTAAAAAAGTAAAAAGTCCACCATTTTGTTATTTTTCAATAAAAATTTTTTATTTTAGTTCCGGCTGTAACCACTTACCTATATTTTACTAATCCGTTTGAATTTTTTGATTCCGTCTGTTCTGACTAAAGATATCATGTCAACCAGATTTTCGAGATTTTTTTTCAAGTCGACATTTCTTTGCTATTAAGAACAAAAAAAATAGAAAAAATTTTTATTTCTTTAGTTTAATATATGTGTAATAATATGTAAAAATTTAAAAATGTTTTTAAATAAATTTCACTATGAAAAAAAAAGTTCTTCAAAATACGTGCAAAAGACCCAGACTGCCCCCTTAAACAAGATTTTTAGTTTCAAATATGTTCATATTAAATATCAATAATAATTTATTAATTTAATAAAATGAAAAATAATAATAAATATAATAAATAAATAAATAAAATAATTTAAAAAATTAATAATAATCTAAGTTTCATATTTAAATCGTCTTAATCGCGGGGCCCCCAAAGTCGCGGGGTCCCGGGATTTCGCCCGGTTTGCCCTATGGTAGTTCCGCCACTGTTTTTGAATCAAAACAGTAAATATTTTCTCTATATTGGGATATTAAGCTTACAAACTAATTTAAAATAAACAAAATCACATAAAATTATTTTTCTATTTGAATTAAGTATAATGTTTACTCAGTATAATAAATTATTAATAATAAGTAGGGGAGCGTGGTCCTAAGTTGGCCGTGGGCCTAAGTTGGCCACCCTGTATTTCTCAGAGATGGTATACTGGACGAATCTATAATTTTGTGGTATGATATATTGATAAAACATGATATAATTTATGGACCTAATTATAATCTAAGATTCTTCTACGCATTGTGAGGACAATAATATTGTTAACGACCAAAAAAATTTAATTTTTCTTGTTTTTCGAGAGCAGCTAAGTTGTCCACCTATTGTTTTTGTTTGTTTTTATTTATGTTTTATTTTTGTTTTTAATCACGAGGAAGACCGTAAAAGTGTAGCGTAGGAATTAAACAAAGACAAAAAACAAAAAAAAAATGGTTTAAAAAACATTAAAAAAGACATAGTACAAAAACGCCTGTCTCTACAGCCATTTTTTTTATTCTCCTAAATGTATCAAATTTGTAAAATTTCTGCGTAATTGAAAAGAATATGCATTTCTTCCTTATACACAAGCGAAAAAAAGTGGTAGCCAACTTTGGACCGCTATTTCTGAAATGTCCAAAATGCAGCTTTTAACTATTTATTGTATTAAGACTACAAAAGCCATTCTATAACGTTCTAAGAGACAGTTTACACGGAAGCCTTAAATATATATGCCTCCGCGCGCATAAACGGATATTCCTCCAGGAGCATATATTTGCGCCTGCGCGAACACGTGGTCAAGGGAAACTCTTTCACAACACAGCTGCAGGCAAACACTTTGCGCAGACGCAAGTATATCCTCATGGAGGCATATCCGTTTATGCTCGCGGAGACTTATATTTAAGGCTTACGGTGTAAACTCCTTCTAAATACCACAAAATTATAGCAAAACGATCTGTGAACACTAATATATACTTGCCGAAGTGATTAAATTTCATTTAGTTACTATTTTCGACCAATTTGCTTAAGCGGCCAACTTAGGACCACTCTCCCCTAGTAGCAAATTATTAGTAATAAATAGTAATAAGTGTAATAATAACTTATTAGGAATAAATAGTAGTGGGGTGTAGAATAGGGTGGTCCAAAAATACATTAAGAAAAAAAAAGTCGGAATTTTTTTGCTCTCACCCCCCGGAATTAAAGTTTGTAGGAAAAAAAAATACCCCTGTTTTTTTTTCTTCATAATAAAATAATATTAACCCGTACCTCAAAGCCCCTTAAATATCTTATGTATTTTAAATGAGAAAAAAACCATTTTTCGTAAATTTAATATAAAATCTCTAGAGAAAATTTTTTTTTCACTCGGTTAAGGATGTTTTTCTTCTAGAATGTTTAAGGACTAAAATCCTTTTATACATTTAACAAATTTTTTATTTTTTATATTTTTTTTAGTTTTGAAAAATTCTCAAAAAAACAAAAAACCGGTAATATATTTTTTTTATTACTTATTATCATTTTTTCTCATCTATTGTTATTAAATATTGGCCTTTATGAATCTATCAAATATTAATTTCATAAAACCAATTGTATTACAATCAATGAGAAAAAATTATAATAACGAATAAAAAATAATAAATTACCGTTTTTTGCTTTTTTGAGAATTTTTCAAAAATAAAAAAAAATATAGAAAATAAAAAATTTGTTAAATATGTAAAAGGATTTTATTTCTTAAACACTCTAGAAGAAAAACATCCTTAACCGAGTGAAAAAAAAAATTTTCTCTAGATTTTATATTAAATTTACGAAAAATGGTTTTTTTCTCATTTAAAATACATAAGAAATTTGAGGGGGCTTTGAGGCACGGGTTAATATTATTTTATTATGAAGAAAAAAAACAGGGGTATTTTTTTTCCTACAAACTTCAATCCTGGAGTATGAGAGCAAAAAAATTCTGACTTTTTGTTTTTTAGACCACCCTAGTGTAGAATTGCAAAAAGCGTTACATAATTAAAGTATGGCCATTAACTACTAACTACATTAGTAGTAAATAATAGAATGTTAATTAACAGTAATTAATAATTGTTTGCATTGGATTTAAGGAAAAATGATGATGGCTCTTGGCTTCAGTGCCCTGGGAGCTTTGGCAATGAAGGCTCTTATGGTCTCGTCTTTGGCTCTGATGTTATCACTGATAACGGCTGTGAAAAAATTATCGACTAAGGATGACAAAGACGAGCATCACGTTGTCTATGCTCAGGAAGTTGCCCATCATCGTCGCAGGCGAAATGATAATAACCATGAATTGTCACCGTATCGTGGTTATCGAAATTTAAAATCGAAATTATCGTGACGATAATTTTTTTCCACTCGTAGCAAATTTTTTCCTTCTGTTTTTTTTCTTCCTATTCTTTTATTCTTCTTCTTTTATTTTATTTTCTTGTTTTCCTTTCGAACTTCCCTTTTTCTTCTTCTTTTTCTTTATTTCTTTTACCTTTGTTCTTCTCCTTTCTTTCCCCTTTTCATTATTTCTTCTTTTTTTCCTTTTTTATTCTCATCTTCTTCCTTTCTTGTTGCTTCTCCTTTCTTTCTTCTTTTCTTTATTTTCTCTTTCCTTCTTCTTTTAGTTTCGTTCTTCTTTTCTTTTTTCTTCTTCTTTCTTCCTTTTTTCTTCTTCTTTTTGCTTATCATTTTTTCTTCTTCTTGTTTTATTCTTTTCCTCTTTATTCTTCTTCCCTTTTCTCTCTTCTTTTTCTTCTTTTGTTTTACTCTATTTTCTTTTTTCCCTCTTTTTCTTGTTTAATCTCCTTTTTTTGTTTTATTTAGAACGCACGATTAGCGTTTTTAGCCATTATTGCGTTTTCGTGCGCTAGTGATTGCGGTGTATTAGTGACAGTAAAACACAAAATAATAGGGGTAACTGTAAAGTGACAGCAAGAATGACACACCGACGTCAATTGAAACAATAGAAAGTGACATTTTTTTTGTTAGAAAATAAGCTACATGTTCCTATTTAAACAAAGTATTCATCAAGTTCCAGACCATATAAAAAAATTGATTATTTCTATATTTTTATATTTTTTCATTTTTTGGTATATATATATTTATTTACTTAGTTATATATTTATTGAATTATTGAATTATTTATTTATCAGAACCCACAAATTTTCATTTTCGTTCTTTATTTCTTTATTATAAATATAAAATATCTTATTTATAATATATAAAATAATAAATATTATATTGTTGTAATATAACAAAACAATTTTTTAGAATGTTCGGAACTTGTTATTTAATTTAAAAGAATAATTATAGAGAATATATTGTGGTTTTTGTTTTTATGATTGAGAATGTTTTAGTTTTTTACTAGGGATGAATTATTTTTTATTGTATAATTAGTAGGTGATTATTAATTAATTCGGTGACTTTCTATTATACGGACTTGCAACGAATTTCCAAAGACTAGACGACATTACTTTTCTTAGATTATTTATTTGTAATAATTTGGGAAATTAGCGTCAATTATTTTATTTATTATTTATTTTAGATTCTCTATAGTATTTTATTTTTAATAAACAAAGTCATTTTGTCATTTTATATTGAGAGATATTGTTACTCGGTTTTTTCAATTATAAACATTGAAATCCTGTGTGTGTATTTTTTATTACCTCTGTTCTTTTCTAATTGTTGATTTAGGGGAGAGTGGGGCAAAATGGGGTAGGCGGGTCAAATGGGGTACCCCTGTTTTTCCATGATAGGTGCTTTTAATGTTTTTATCCTTGATATATATCATTCATATTATTAAGAAAATGTTATTAATTATGAAGACACTAACAAATTTTTTTTTTTAAAGTTTTGCAACTTTAAACTTTTAAGCAAAAAAATATGAATATTTATCGAAATTAAAGTGCTTACAAAACTTTTTGGGATAATGCATTCAATTTGGCAAGTATAAGATCTTTTTCAGCACTTATTCTAGAGTCATTTCCAATAGGATAGAATCCTAGTACTTGTTCATATTTATAATTTCATACAACAAGAATTTAATAAATTTTGAAAAAATTTTACATGTTTTGTATAGTTATTTGATACCACCACATTTTGCCTCACGGGTGGGGTAAGATGGGATTTTATCACTTTCTCAGAAAATACGATATACGTTCTTTCAAAATCGGTTTATTCGTTTGGTTCTCTGTAAACATCTAATTTCCAAAAGGCACCCCATTTTACCCCACTCTCCTCTAATTATCGATTTTATTTATTTATTATATCAAAATATTTACATTTAATTTACTAACGAATTTTTCGTTTAATTTTGCAACAGAATTTTATTACATGATTTTGTAATCAATTTTGGCAATTAATAATTACATTAGGGGAGACTGGGGCGAAAAGTTAAATTTTGCATAAATGATTTTTTTTGGCAATATAAGCCGCTTAGATGCAAATATTTGTATATCAATATTGTAGGGCAACTTGTCCTTTACAACTTTCAATAAAAAGTTCCTGATATTATCGAAAAAAATACATGTTTTGTCCTTGTTTGAAAATTTTGTTTTTTTTAACTTTTCGCCCCACCCTGGGGCGAAAAGTTAAATTCTATTTTTAGCCTACTAAAACTATTTTCTGATAGGTGATAAGTAGTAGATAAGTTAAAGTATACGTAAACAAGTAATTCAGTAAATAAAAGATCTTTGTTTATTTGACAAAAGCTTTAGAATAGTTGTAAAGTTAAAAAATTGAAATTTCAAAAAAAAAAAATTTTCTTTGGTTTATTTCACGTTAACCGGCTTATTTTTTGACAGAGTACTTGCCCAATGTCAAATAAATAATGTTTAAACAAATAAACCCAAAAAAAAAGAAAAATAAAAAAAAATTTTTTAAGAACATGTAAAAATACATTTAACTTTTCGCCCCAGGGTGCGTTTTTGGCTTTAACAACAAATATAAAAAATCTGACTAAAGATATTTAGCAAATACCTTCAGGTATCTCTTCAGGAGACCCAAATAATGAAGTAAAAAAATCGCGATGAGAATAAATGCAAAAAATATACTTAAAAGTTGATATTTTCTTTTTCGAAAAAATTTTCAAAAGTAGGTTGAAAAAAACTTTCAATATCGACACCACAAAAATAAACAGAATTGCACACAACTCCGGACATTTATTTAGGGTGATAACACCCTTCTATAATTAAAATTGCAATGCTCTAACTATTTTCGTTCGAAAGATAATGAATTTTAACGGTTTTGGCAGTTTAACTTTTCGCCCCAGTCTCCCCTATATTGATTATTGTTTCTTTTAATTATTTTTAATTTGTTTTGAATGCTTTTGATAAATAAATTATAAATAATAAATCAGGAAAAAGCTAATAAAAGTAACAAATATATAGTAAACACATAACGAATAAATAACAAGTAGATAATAAACAATCAAATAATAATAGGTAAGTAATAAATAAATAAACAATTATTAATTATAGTAAATTCTATAACGTCCGAGTGGTTTTAATAATAATAAGACAGAAAAAACGAATAGAAGACATTCAAACACATGTTTCTTTAATGTTATTCCATTAAGTAACATTAAAGAAATCTTTGTCTGAATGTCTTCGTTTCTTCTGTCTAATTATTAAATAATTATTAAATAAATATTCAATGAATAATAAATTCTGAAATTAAAAAATAAATTTTCAAATAAACAGCAGAAATAATATATAAACAATAAATAAAATATAAAAAAATAATAATAATTTTAAAAATAATGTTTGGAGGGAAAAATCAAAAGAATAATTTCTTAATAAGAAAGGAATTTGCGAACAACAGGTGTCGCATTGCTCTTCCATGAATCAAGGTGAAATTTAATTTGCCATCATTTTATGTCAAAGTACTTTGCACACCTTGTTGGGTTAAATTGCAGACACGGAATTCGAGATAGCGTTTAAACATAAAGGAATGAAAACAATTGTTTTATCAGAAGGCCGCGTATGTCAGCCTAGGAATGGTTAAGAAAGGGAAGTTGTGAAAGAGGAACAAGATCAGCAGCTAATAAGGAAAGTATGTCATTGACCTGTCCCAAAACGACAGATATATCTTGAAGACATCTGCCTATATGTACAAGCACATTTATTTTCTATTTCCCTCTCCACTCATTATATTTAATCAATTAATTGCTCATAACTTCATCAACTTTGCAAATTTCTTAAAAGAATAAATTTTTCTTACTTTTAATTTTCAAAACATTTCAACTTTCACTTTTATTAATATATCTATAACTTTTTTAGTTTGAATTCATAAAGCAACTAATCAGTGTCAAAGAAAACTAATAAATTGTCTATTTTTATAAAAACTCATTTAATTTAATTATTTATTTAGCTAATTAATTATTAGACAAACTAATTAATTTGTTAACTATTTAATTAATGTATTTGTATATTAATTAACTGTTTAATTAATTAACTAACAATTGAACTAATAGTTCAGCAATGTACCATTTAAATAGAATAAAAAATTAACTAATTAATTTGTTAATAAATTATTTAATTAATTAACTTTTCTTAATTAATTCATTATTAATTAATTAACTGTTCAATTAATTCAGTAATAAATTAATAAACTGAACAATTAATTATTAAATAACTTGATTTATCAAACAAACGATCTAATTAGTTAATTAATAATGCACTAAGATTGTAAATGAATATACTAATTAATTTATTAAGTAAGTGTTTAATTAATTCAGTAATAAATTAATAAACTGAACAATTAATTATTATCTTACAAATTTACTAATTACTTCATTAATAATCCACTTAAATAGTAAACTAATTAACTAATTAATTCGTTAATAAACTATTTAATTAAATAACTAACTGTTTAATTAATTAAGTAATAATTTTACAAACTAATTAATGAACGAGGGAATTAAATAATAAACTATAACTCTGTTTAATAAGTCAATTATTTAATAAGCTAAGTTGATTATTTAACGAATTGTATAGCAAAGTAATAATGTTCTATTAATTACTATATTGTAATTAATTTAATAAGTAAAGTATTACTTGGTAAAGTATTAAAAATATAAATAAATTAATTAATTGTATAATTTATTTATTTACCTAATAATAAGCCTTTACATTTTTTACTACTAACATAATTAGTTACTTAAATATTAAAGATGTATAAACTAATTCTATAATAAAATTTATTTATAATAATAAAAGAAAAAAGGAAGAAAGAAGAAAAAGGAAAAGGAGAGAAAAAAGAAGAGAGAGAGAAATTTCTCTCGCGTCTATATATAAAGATGGTTAACGTGAGTAGATTGGTTGAAAGGAAATTTGAGACGGAATGAAAGATTTCTTCGATAAAAGGATAGTTTCAAGGGTGGGGGGAGAAAGAGAAGACTTGACTTGAGCATAGGAGGGAAAAGACAGAGACCAAGACCGAGACCCAGTGACAC